GAAATCAATATTAAAACTATTTCTATTAAATAAATAATTAACAAGTGGATTGAAGTGAAGTGAAGTTTAATTAATAATGCCGCGACCAAGACGATCGAATCTTTCCCGACAAAGCCGTAATGCAAGAAGAATACAAAATACTGCATATGAAAGGACTGAAGAAGAACATGAAATTGCACGTGAACAGCGCCGCAATAGTATGGCTCGACTTCGTGCTTCTCAAATAGATTTTAATTTGCGATGCAGAACAAGATATTTAGCTGATTTGAATCGAGCTGCGTTTCGATACGATTGCAGCAATGATTACAGCTTGCATCCTAGCGTTTGCAAGTACAAACGTTTGACCGTTTGATTCTGTCTCAAACTAATGAACGCGACTGGACAAGGGTAGCTGAAGCGCGTTTACAGCTTGCAACAGATCGAAACCTGCAATACAATCGTCTTGCATTCCGATATAATCCAACTTTATAATCCAAGTTCATTCAGCACTTAAGCTGTCATTGAACATTCAAAATAATCCAGATGCAGTGTGCAACATAAACACAATCGTCTATGGGTATAGTGCCCATATTTTGGATGAATGCACTATGGGACGTAAAATTGGAATGGGGAATTGGATCGGTCATTTAGGGATATAAGAAACAATGATAAACTATTTTACGGCCCTTTGTTACTCCTTTCAGGTGTTCACGGTTAACGGACGCTGATAAATTCAATGCTTGAACTGACCAAGAATAAGCGCGATCAAATGCTTCAGGATCCATCCTTTCTCTAAACAACAGTTAGATATTGGCGAGGGGAATTTTGCTGTACGTGAAAATACTGGATGTACTTGAAATACTGAAAAATATTTATTAACCAAAATAAATGAAGAAAAAACAGCTAGCCCTTATAGAAAACAAAAAAGGACAAAACAACGTTGGCCGGGGTTGCTAGTTATAACTAAATGTAAGGATAAATTAAGTTAAAAGATATTCCATAATTTTGGATTTAATTACATTTAGGGATAGTTCAGGGGATAATAAATGGGACAATGAGTTATAATTTTTACAAATAACGCGAAATGGATCGTGTTCCGCAAAATTAGACCTAGAAATCGGTAACCAAAGGGGTTGGAAGGATCTAGTTACTCTATTAGGCACAGAAAACATTAATTTTTCAAGAAGTACTTGTGAGTCAACCTGTCCAAGAATAAGCACATGAAGTAGCATAACCCCAGCACAAGTACGGCGCTCTTTTAAAGGAGGTAGGTTAAGTAGTTTTAACCGGCAATTATACGACGGGAGGGAAGTGGCAGTATCCCAGTTTAAGCTTTTTAACGCAAATAGCAGAAACTGCTTTTGGACAGATTCAATCCTCCTTTGGTGAACAAAGTATTGCGGACTCCAAACGCTAGAACAGTATTCCAAGATAGGACGAACCAACGATACGTATAGAGTTTTAGTTGTGAAAGGATCATCAAATTCTTTAGACCAACGTTTGATAAAAGCTAGCACACCTCTGGCCTTATTAACTGTTAGTGATATGTGTTCGTTGAAGGACAACTTGTTGTCAAAAGTGACTCCAAGATCGTTAATTAGGGAAACACGATCTAAGACGTTATTCCCAAGAGAGTACGAAACGATGTGAGGCACACTGCGATTGAACGTCATAACCTTACACTTAGAGCAGTTAAGCAAAAGGAGATTGTTTGATCACCACAAGAAGACTTCGTTAAGGTCTAGTTGCAGGTATCTATGAAGGAAATGGTCTGAGAAAGAAAGACATAACTTGTCATCATCAGCATACATAAATGTAGTAGCATAGTTTACAACACAAGGTAAATCGTTGACAAAAAGAACAAACAGAAGAGGTCCTAAGTGACTACCTTATGGGACACCAGATGAAACGTTTATAATCTGTGATGAACTGTTTTTAAACAAAACACGCTGCGTGCGGTTCGATAAATAAGAGGTCAACCACTGTACTATATGTGGAGAAAACCCCATAAGACACAGCTTATGAAGGAGGAGATGGTGGTTGACAGAGTCAAACGCTTTACTAAAGTCAGTGTATACCACATCAGTTTGCATGCGGCTCAGAAATCCTCTGTGGATAAACGAAGTGAATTCAAGAAGGTTAGTTGTGGTAGAGCGATGCTTGACAAAACCATGCTGTGAAGTGGAAATAATGCTTTTACAAAAATGTTGCAGTTGGAAAGTAACCAGTTTCTCAAGCATTTTGGGAATCGCAGATAGCTTAGCAATCCCCCGGTAGTTCTCAATAAGTGCTTTAGAGCCTTTCTTGTGAAGCGGAATAATAAAAGATTCGTTCCATCTCTTGGGAAGACATGCCTGCTCCATGGATAGGTTGAATAAGATAGTGAGAGGATAGCAAAGGATATCAGAACAGTACCTTAGAACACAGCTAGGAACATTGTCAGGACCAGCAGCGAATGATATATCTATTGTTGAAAGAGCTTCGAACAGATCCTGAATAGGTGGTTTGAAAAAATGACGCAAAGAGATTAGCAATACCTTGCTCAGAAGAATGTGAAATATTTTTATATGATAGGGAAGGAGGAAAAAGTTTTGATTTACGTTTCATATTGACAAAAGAGTAGAAGGAGCTTGGATCATTACGAAAGTTTACCTTACAATTCCTGATATACTGCTTATAGAGTTTGAAAGTTTGACTGGTGGCACATCGATCCTGACTTAAAAAACTTTTTGTAAGCTCTGGATTTCCTGTTCTTAAGAGGAGAAAGGTGTTTATTATACCAAGGTGGTTTTGTAGACAATGATACTGGGACTTCCGGAACAAATTTATTCAAGGCATTATGAACTATTTCGTAAAACCAATCCGTAGCTGCTTCAATTGTGTTTATAGATGAAAGAACATTCCAATCAAGTTTCAGTAAGCACGATAGCATCAAAATCAAAAGAAGCACTCTTTGTAAAAAATTGGCTCAGCTTACCCAGAATACTTCTAACATTTTGATAGCAGCAGGAAAATACTATGTTATTCAGTTTTTTGAAGCAGTTTCTGCAGGGCTAGGATTCGGAGTGTCTTTTGCTAGGAATTCATGAATGATACTGTGCTCAGGCCAAGCTACAGGATCAAGTGCTTTTTCAAGGTAGGAATCAGGTAGAACTATTTTAAAAGAAGAAATAGAACGCTTATGCTTAAAGTTAAACTTCTTATGCTTAAAAGTTAAAGTTAAACTCCAAGATGAGAGGTGGCTCGAGATTTGTACTTGGTACGCTGATCGCTTCTTGCAAGGGATAAATATTAGAGTGCCCTGAAGGAAGGCTCATCAAGTCCCTTGGTACTGGAACAGCATAAGTAGGTAGACAAGTAGGCGACGGTAAAATGTTTGGTGTTGAAAATTCATCGACTTGTACAGCATGGGCTGTAGGGGTATTCAGTAATTTAGCAGTCAGCAGGTTGTTGTTCGGAATTTTTCGTCTGGGGGATTCGCTTAACAACTTTAGCCCAAGGAATTGAGTTTCAAGAGCGTGGAATTGCTCATTAAGGGCCGAGAATCGCTTGCGGACATCTAGAAAACCATTTCTCGTCTGTTTCATAAAAGTCCGCATCTCTGACTCAATTTCTCTACAAGCGATGCAAGACCATGTCAAGCCAATTTTCTTGTTGATGAGGTCACTTATCCGTCCATTGTGTCCTCCTCCAGCACATTTAATATGTGAGCAGTTATTGCAGAGCCAACAAGACAGGTATGAGTCACCCGTGATGGTTCCACCAAATTCACATTTTTTTGCTGTGCAAGTAAGACTCATTTTTGACTTCTTTTTTGACGGAATGCAGACCACTGTAATAGCGTGTAAAGAATTTAGGCTCTCTGAAGCACTCTGTAACCGAGAGTGGACGATCAGATCGGATGTAAGAGATGACGTTACAAAAGAGATGTGCAACGAAGGTTCGGCGTCGTGAAGAACAACAAACTCCACAATAACTATGATGTAACGGGTTACGTCCGGAGAGTACAGCTCGGAGAGACTTATGTTGGAGAATATAGTATGGAGAATATGGCTATATTGACTCGGCTGCCGATGCTAATCAAGAATATACTTGGAGGTCGGAGATGATTCCTTCTCAATGATACATAATTTCGCATAATCTATCCTTGTACTTCTTTGTGACTCTTTTTTTTCTTTTGCAAGGGAGGTTCTTATCTCTATTTCATTTTCCTATTATATTTATCGGTATTAAAATTGAATTTAATATAGAATTTATTGAATTTAATAAATTCAAAAAATATATTTAAATTGAATTTAATAATGCTCCATTAAATCTTGTATTAAAAAAATTTCTCCATCCCAGCCTACCATCCATTGCTGGCTTTGTAACAACAGTGTACAAGCCAAGCATGGCGGCTTTACTGCCTCAGTTTCGGATTTTATTTTCCGTAGGTCTGATCTTCACTATTGTTGCGGTAATTGTCGACTTGTCCAGGACGAAATGAGATCGTTAATGGGACAGACTAAAACCGGATTAAAGGAGTCTATCAGTGGTCTTCGCAAATTCAACGACCAACTCTGCGCACTTGAGTTTGAAATAAGCCGCTGGGAAATGAGCTCTTATCTTTGCCTATGTTCTCCGTGGCATCACTTAGTTAAATTCCACAAGGATGTTAAAAATTCTAAAGGAGGGGCGAGTGTCATATCTGCCAATAACCAAGATAACGAAACCCCCGTACAGCCGGTTTTTCGGTTATTCCTATCAATTCCCCCAACAACATTCCCAGATCCTTGTGTGGGAACATTTCAAATCAGTTTATCGAAGAAAGTAGAAATAAACATCGAATCTCATTTCAAAATTCATAAAACAAGTGCCCATCCTGGAAACAATCCAAACCGAATAAAATTCCGACCAATCAAAATTATTAAATCAAAGTAAATTTCCGCTGCAAGCGTCGCTGTCACCGATTAAAGCTATAGTTATAAGAATATGGAAAAGTTAAAATCTTTTTGTCTCACTAAATAAACAAAATTAAAAAATTAAAATCTTAATTTGATTTTTTTTTATCGGAAATTAAACTACGAATTTGTACACATACAAACTAATCATAAAAATATATTTAAATTTTCTTACGTTTATAAATTTACATGAAAATCTTTATTTTTTTTTACTTATACTAAGATCCTATATTATCTTACAATTGAAGACACATATCTCTTTTCTTTAAGTCTATATGTTTTACGATTATAACCCGCACATCGTCCACATTAATTAATACTTTCCATAAGATGACATCTGAAAATAAAAATTTTGATAAGTTACAATGTAAAAAATTCATTTTGTTAGCATGTTCTATATATTAACAGCTGTAAAATAATTTAAAACAAGAAAGGAAAGCTAACTTCGGGCGAAGCCGAAGTTGATATACCCTTGCAGTTAAAACCGGATATATATCGCAAACATCGGATATAGTTGGCCGATCCTTATGAAATTTGGTAGGTTTGATCAACTGACCAAAAATAGAATCTGTATTAAATTCCAGCTTTCTATCTTCAAAAATGCGAAAGGTCATTTCATTTTCGGGGTCATTTCCGATCGTTCAGTTATATGGCAGCTATAGGATATAGTCGGCCGATCCTTATTAAATTATGGCCTTATGGCACGTCGTATTGTTTTGTCAAAAATAGCTCTCATGTCAAATTTGAACTCTCTAACTCTAAAAACACCGAAGTTATACCATTTCCGATCAATCAGTTATATGGCAGCTATAGGATATAGTCGACCGATCCCGGTCGTTCCGACTTATATACTGCGTGCAAAAGAAAGAAGCAGTGCTACAATTTCTGCAACCACAGGAACAACCACTGCAATTCGTCAACGACTACAGCGAGTACAAAAACAACAACTTTGGAATGTGCCAAAGCAGCCCTGGCCACAAAGAAATTAAACGCAAGCTTAGCCCTCAGAGTAATCCGGCAGGCAATAAAACATTAATTAACCGCATCCAGAAGATCGACGAAGAACCAGGCAGTTACAGTAGCAACAGATTTTCCCTACTGGCGGAGGTTGAGGGAAACCAAACAGCCCAAGACACCGCAGCTGAAATACCAAAATGTGGCGTTGTTCGGGAACGGTAACAACTTTCGTGTTGTCCCGCTTATCAAATCGATGAAACAAATGTGCAAACAAAGACTGAAGAGCACTTCCGAATCGTGTAAAAATAAGTTGACTATGCTAAAAAAAACTATTACACGTACCAGTTGAAAAGCAGCAAGGGCCTACAAGTTGTAGTAAAGGCAATCGAACCCGATGTTCCCGCCGCGGAAACAAAACCGCCCTTAAAGAAAAGGGCTTCGCCGCCAAGAATGTTATTAACATTCTAAATAAAGAAAAAAGGCCACAACTCCTCTTCAAGGTTGAGCTCGAGCCAGAAAGCAGAGGTTCTTCGCTGAAGAAGAACGAAGTCCACCCAATAGGAGAAATAGCAACTGAAGGTACTCAGTAGGGAAGCAGAGGCCAGACATAAATTGACTATGGAAATATCAAAATATCAAAATTTTGGCATCAAAACTTTTCCAAAAACTTGTTTCTGTACTGGTGCCACAAAAATGTTCGATTTGTGAGGGCGGGAGGGGTCGAGGCTAATTTTGGTCGTAGCCGAAGTTAATATACGCTTGAAGATAAGATCGGATATATATCGCAAAAATTGGGTTTAGTTAGCCGATCTTTATGAGAATTTTATTATTAAACCAACTTCTTAAAACACCAAATTGAAAAAAAAGTAATACCATATCTGGGTCATTTTTGAGCGTTCAGCTGTATGCATAGCTCGCATAGTAATTGTTAAACTTTTTTCCTTATGTTTTGTTTACGAGAACAACCAAAAAAATAAGCACATTCACTTTCTATCACCACTGGCATCACCGTGCATTCGACCGGTCGCCGGTCAATTCCGCTTACATTCGCTCTTGCTCTTTCGTGCTCTCGTGATTTCGTTTTTTCGGTCCCCCCGCTCCGTCAGCGCTGAGCCGCGGCACTAACCATACAGCATATAGACAACCCATTTCATACAACGAAAATGGACGCGAAAATTTCTTGCGACAGGCCCCAGCAGGCCCTAGAGCGAATTTCTTACGCTCTCTTACGCTCATCGTTCGTTCATCTTACGCTCAATTTCTCATTAAATGTTTTCTGTTTCTCAGTCTCTAAACGGAGCGCGATGAAGAAGGTTGGCCTGCGCTTCGGTTGATCTTCGTATGTATGCGTGTCACACATTCACATACATGGGTGTATGTGTGCGTGCGATTTCGTTTCGAAGCCAGCGCACAAAATTTTGATTTTCCTTACTTTTCAGGCTTGCTACCCTAACAAAATTCGGGTATTCGTATTTGATGAAATGACGAAAGAAATTATATTATTTTTTATATTATATTTTTTATTATTTCAGCATACATTTTTAATTTATTTAGGAATAAGATTAAGTGTTAGTAGTATAATGTTTTCTGTATATATATTTTTACGAATCATTAAAAATCAATATACTGAGAAAGTGTCAGAGTATATTTCAGTCGGAGTCACTTAAAGCGGCCACTTTAAAAGTTCCAAAATATATAAGGAAATTATTAAATTAACGACAATAATTTAATTAAATCTCACAATAACCCAAAATAATAACAAGTGCCTGAAAAATTGTAAACAAAAAAGGTAAACAAGTCCATCAGCTGTTTTCGTGTCTTCACCCTCCCCTAAAAATCATTCCATCGTTAGAGCCTCTTGATCGTACAAGCCTCTTGCAGAACAACAAAAACTTAAAAGCAATCGGCGCTTTAAGTGACTCCGACTGAAATATACTCTGTTAGTATAGTATACACTATAGTATATAGTATATAGTGTTAGTAGTATACACTTAATCTTATTCCTAAATAAATTAAAAATGTATGCTGAAATAATAAAAAATATAATATAAAATATAATATAATTTCTTTCGTCATTTCATCAAATACGAATACCCGAATTTTGTTAGGGTAGCAAGCCTGAAAAGTAAGGAAAATCAAAATTTTGTGCGCTGGCTTCGAAACGAAATCGCACGCACACATACACCCATGTATGTGAATGTGTGACACGCATACATACGAAGATCAACCGAAGCGCAGGCCAGTGTTGCCGTCAGCTCGTTACAGAAAAAGGCTAGATTGATTATAAAAAAAGGATAGAAAAGGACAAAAATTAAAAAAAAAAAAAAAAAAAAAAAGGACAAAAAACAAGACAAAATATTGTTTCCATAAATTTTATGTAATGTCACTCTTCATTGGTGGCCAAATCATTAAGAACATCGTCAATGTCATCATTGAAAGCTTCTAAGCTTTAATTTTCTGTAGATTGGTTGCTTCCAATCATTGTTGAATGTTGCTCTCGAATTTCAAATTCATGGGAACATACGCCTTTCCGGCGTAGCCCAAACCTAAAAAAGAAAAAAGCAATTTAAATAAATTTGTGAAACAAAAGAGTATTAAAATATTTATCTGATCGATAAAATCGCATGTAAAGTTTCGCATTTAAGATTACAACAGGGTTGCATTAATTATCAAGTGCTGCTATCGATATAAAAGTAATGTACATTTGGATTACTTTTCAGCACTTTACACCAAAATAAAAAGCAGATAAAAAGGCCAGGCCAAAATAAAAAAAAGACAGATAAAAGGCTAGGGGATGTTTTAAATATTTCCGGCTGACGCAGTTAAAAACCGGACAGATCTGTCCGGAAAAAAGGATAAAACGGCAACACTGGCGCAGGCCAACCTTCTTCATCGCGCTCCGTTTAGAGACTGAGAAACAGAAAACATTTAATGAGAGAATGAGCGTAAGATGAACGAACGATGAGCGTAAGAGAGCGTAAGAAATCCGCTCTGGGGCCTGCTGGGGCTTGTCGCAAGAAATTTTCGCGTCCATTTTCGTTGTATGAAATGGGTTGTCTATATGCTGTATGGTTAGTGGCCGCGGTCACCAATAACGCATCTCTAACTTATCATTATTGTCATCAATAACGTATTAAAACAAAATAAACATCATTTCATTTATTGAATTTTTGGTGTTATCATGTAAAAATGGACTAACTCTTTTTTCTAAGCAGCAGCTTATTACTGAAAATGCTCAGTAACTGAACACTGCACTTAGGGCAAAAAGGCCCAAAAACCGGCATTTTAAAATTTTTTTTGTACCTTATTATTAAATTGAAACATATGAAACATATTTTTAAAAAATTTTAGACTTCGTTAGTATTTTGTTATTTGTCCATATTTAAAGACTATGATCTGGTAATTTTAAAAAAAGATTTGGCGCGGAAGTTTAAGATTTTTTCTGTTAGGTTTATGTTTAAATTGTAAATTAAAAAAAAAACTTAAATGTGGATTTTAACCATCAAGGTATGTAAAATTAATTATTAGCCCTAAATGTTTATTACATGTGTTATATTATTTAATCGTACAATGTGTTTTTGGTATGTTTTTGGACTGCTGCCTATAAATGTATCTGTGGAGTGTAACTTGTGTGTCTAGGCCAGACTAGGCAATTTTGAAGCTGTTTGTTATTAACTAAACTGTTACCAATCAAATAATGGTTAACATTTTGGCCCGTTTTTGGCCGCTTTTCGGCAATACTCAAATGTTGCAGCAGTTACAGTTACAGAAAGAGACATCTCCGACCCTATAACGTGTATATATTCTTGATCAGGATCACCTTCTGAGTTGATATAAGTCCGTCTCCTGAGTCCGTTTGTCCGTCTGTCTGTCCGCGCAAAAAAATCTCGAAAAACGGTTTTTCTAAATAAATCAAGATTTACGAAATTTAATAACAACGGCCGACTATATCCTTTGGCTCTCAGTTATGTAATTTCAATGTCAATGTCAATGTAATTTAGTCCATGTTGTAGATTGTTTATTTTTCTTCATATAAGTCAAATAAGAATGAGCACTTTTATGCGCCTTTGAAGAAATTCATATTTTAAGGAGGCAACCTCAAAACCTTTAATGTTAATCTGTTAGCTGTGAGACTAGAGCAAACGCAATTTATAGAAATCAAAAGATTTTTTAAATTTAAAAAAAATACCATACCAAAATTGAAATATCTTGCTTAGATTTTGAATTAGCAAAATGTTACAAATTTTTCAAATTTTAAGTCTATTGACCATGTGAACTCAAAATCAGAATTTAAATATCTTGTTCCGTTCTTGAGATATTATTTCTGAACAGAAAAAGTGGTCAAATTTCCTATAATGCAGTCTCCTATAATGCAAAGTT